CCCCCCCCCCCCCCCCCCCGTCATCGCAACCTTCTGTCATCGCAAATCTATTTTAGGACATGTTGATTTCCCCGCAGATCTGAAGAAAACAAGACTTTTGTCAATTTTTGTCTTTGTACACTTCTAGATCTGGTCAAATCTGAGAGCTCTTTCCAAATCGTGGGTTAAATCGGAAGGGGGAGGGAGAATGAATAAAAAGATGAAGAAGAAGAAGAAGAAGAATATTGGTATGGTATGAACAAATCGAAAGGAGTGGAGTGGATTAGGGGAAGGAGAAAGAAAGAAAGAAGAAAAATAGAGGAGTGGCTTGACGCCTGGATGGACGAAGAAGAATGGGGGAAGAAGAAAAGAAGAAAAAGAAAAAAAAGAATGGGCAGATCGGAGAAAGAAGGAAAGGAAAAGAAGTGGGTGGCTTGGATGGTTGAGGGTAGTTTAGTCAGTTTAACATAAAAAAGTTATCAAATAAGGAAATGAGAAGTTTATTTGTGGACATCCCAAATTGGAAAGTGGGAAGTTCTTTTATGGACGGAGGGAGTATATCTAAACATACTTTTTTATACTTTTAAACATTTTTTTCATGTTTGGCTAAAATCAAACTAAGAAATTTTTTATGGGATGGGGGTAGGTTCAATTTAAAAATATACATTTATTTACATGAATTTTTAGGTAGTTTAAATTTAAAAATATACATTTATTTACATGAATTTTTAATACTGTTTATAGTCTATGATATAAAAATATGTTTTCAAATACTCCGTTTTAAATACGATATTTAGTTATGATAACTACGATATAAAAAATAAAAATATGTTAACTAACAAAAACGAACAAAACATTTGTATGATACTCCGTAAATATAAGTGCCATCATATACATATTAAAAGAATAAGAGTAGCTCAACAATTTCATATATACCTCAATGTCATTGAGGTATTTTGGATTATCAACAATCAAATTTTCTCTCAGAGTAGGTAGTACTAAAATTAGGTCTACCTGAAGAAATACCCTGAGAAGCTTGAAATGGAATCAGCTCTCGAACTCTTCTTCTATCCCTTTCATACTAAGAGAGCACCTGACAAAATAAAAACTTTCACCTTCAAACCATTTGTTATTTGAGAAGCCTAGTTGTTAAGAAAATTTATTCAAAAAAAAAAAATTGGAGAGGAAAAGTTAAGCCTATTGTATTACCTTTTCTGATCCTTCCTGAAGAGGGACGCCTTCTCTACCAACCATATTTGAGGCTTTATGAACCACCTACATAGGAGGAAACTGTAGCTTCACGGTCCATCAACTTCATTTCTTGTTATGGTGGAACAAATTATTCTTTTTTGTTAGCCAAGGCCTAACAAATCCACAATTTTATTGTTTCATAATATAATTTTCATTTGACACCAAAGACAATGGTAGGAAAAGTAGGAATTTTTTTAGAGTAGCAAATTGGCATTTTCTTGAAGCTCTAGCACCCACCCGGAGTACCCAAGTGAACTATAATACTCTAGTACCCACCCAAAGGGGTGCCAATTTGTGAAGAAAAAAATCAGCAAAAGCACATCACACAAATCAGAAATATTAATTTCAAAAAGGTATAATGAAGAAATGTGTGCCAAAAATGTCAGGTACTAATGAGAAAAGAGATGGGCTTTGGTTATTGTTGCATTAAACATATCAAAGGAGATTGGGGTGGTATATGGTAATGGAAATTATTTATTATTGTTAAAGGTCACATATTATGTCAAGCTATGCATTCTTTAAATCTCAAATAATAAATATTTTGAGTAATCCAGAGTCCAGACATACCATTTTAAAGTTAGTAATAAGCGTGGTAATATGACCTACTCATATGGGGGTGGGCAGTAGCAAATGACAAAGTGAGATAATATATACATACCTTAATGAATAACTTTAAGAAGCTCAGATAATATTGACTTTTGATGTTCATAAGAAGAGTGACAATCAAGCTGAGAGATAAAAGATGATTTGTGTTGACAGTCAAGTAACTACTCTTAAACTTGTTTGAGGAAGAAGACATTATATAGAGATTCAAAGACAACATAGAAGAGACATTTACCCATTTCGTGAAGATCAAGTCTTGTTTGAATGTCAAAAATATGTCGACAAATCAACAACCTGAGTCAATCAATCAAACCCATAAATGCAAGAACAAATTCCTGAAACTCACAATTAAATTTAATACTGTAAATTTCACTTGCATCTTCTCCCATTGCCTCTTCCCCAACATGACTTAGAGTACAACCGTTTAACTTAAAAAAGATTTGAAAATTAAAAATCAACTATGGAAAAAATATCAAGTGAAACAGCTATGGAAAATTAAGAATAATTTGCGATGGATATATCCTCCATACTTTGAAATAGTACTAATGATAATAATTACATTAACAATAACAATAATAATAATATAAATAACAATAATAGTAACAAGAATGTCGCCTACTAAGATTGTGTGTGGGAAGCAGCAAATGGCTAAGCTAGATGAAATATACATACCTTAATAAATAATGCTAAACTGTCACTGGAATAACGTGTCAGAGATATACTGCCCGTTCCATGGAAAATTACTAATCAGTGTTTTACACCAAAACTAATACCAATAAACACTTAACGAAACAAAGAATAAAAGATATTACTAACATCCTGCTCGGCAAAGGATTCCCGTGCGGCAAAACTACAGTCAAGCTAATCACA